CTGTACTGTAGTCAACATTAATAATTGTATTTGAGTGGATAAAGTAGAGAGAAGTGTCAGTTATATTATGTGATGTTATTAACCTAAATAGAAACTGACACATAAAACAAGTGGAATTCACTAGGGTTTATTTAACAAAAGAAATTTCTAATATTAAAGGCAGCTACAGTGATTATTACTTTTTGTTTGGGTCTTTTTTCTTTCGATATATTTACATTTCAATGTTTTGCTTCCAGGCCAGCAAAATATGTAAACAGATGTTTTAACATGGTAGTATACTAATATGGTAGTGGATCATTGATATGTATGCTCTGAAACTATGAGAATTTCCCATTTCTTTACCCTTTAGGGTAACTGTTCATTTTAGACATTCCACTAGGGAATTGATTCATTATAACATGTTTCATGTGTTATTTTTGTCAGACACAGAGTAAAGTATTTGGTAGTCAGTAGGAAACAAGATAGATTCCTTTTTCTTCAAGTTCTTTCAAAGAAATAAATATATTTCTAAACATATATAAACCATAAATGAAGGTATTATATTAAGATGATAGCACAAAAGTAGTGCTAAGAATAACTAGAGAAAGACTTTCTTAAGTAGTCGTAATGAAGGCCTCCTTCAGAAGATGACGCCCAGGGAGAGACTTCACCACCAGATCATTTACTCAGATGAAGAACTGAAGAAAGAGCATTTCAATTAGAGGCAATACTACGTGAAAATGCCCTGGGAAAGGAAAAGAAACAGCATCTTGGGATTATAAGAAGGAAACCATGTTACACTCTTAAAGTGGTTGAGGAAGAGTAACACAAAATGAAATCAGCACATGGTGGTAAGCAGTTTGTCCACGATGCCATGTACTTTGCTGTATATCATACAAGGCATCGATGGCATCAGATTGGTTTGTGTCTCTTGTGACACCATTATGGTGACAGTCATGTGACCATATTCCATCCCCATGGACCTCTTCCCACACTAGATCATAGGAATATTTATTAATAATTTTAACTACTGAATCACGTGATACATATTATTTTAATTGATTCAATGCAATAATTTTAGAATATATGAATACTAGTAAAACAATTGCTTTACAAAATCCCCATTGTATTACAACTTGATTAATAACTGAGCAGAAACTGCTCTTGATTTTTCTCTATTTTTTAAAATTACTGCTTTCTCAAAATAGTTCTAAATATAGATCTATAAATACTATTTACCACAACATTTTATTTAAAAGGCCAGTAAATTAGACAGAAACGGTGTGATAGTTACATAATCTGTTGTCACTTTGAGACTTAACAGCAAAGGAGTGGAGGTTAACCTGTCAATCAGGTCACAGTTTGATGACCTCATTTGGAGGCCCTAAAGAGAAAAATAGCTCACTGGAGGCAGGACACACTACTCCCTGGGAGACATCCCTGTTGAGAAGACACATGGGGCTATGCCAGAGCCCAGGAGCTGAAGCAGCCACGTGGAGACCCCTGCCAGCGCTGATATGCTTCCACTGCCACTTTATCCACAAGAATCTCCACCCACTGGCCTGTGATCTTTCTGCAGCAACATCATTGCTTGTGTTTCATGAGTCTGAAGAGGACTTTATAGATTGGTATCGGACATATGGACTAATATCAGACTTAGAGACTTGATCTGGACTGGGTTGAGATGTTCCCTCAATATTCAACTGCTCTTGTATATAAAGCTCTTTCTTATACACAAATCAGTGTCTATGAATTAGTTTCTCTAGTCCACTCAGACTAACACAAACAGTAACTATGAAAACACTGGCACTGTGAGACAAAGCATCTTTGGAATTGAATAATAATGGCAGCACTGACCGGAGTGCATGGGAAGATTTAAAAAGTAAATCATCATAGAGTTTTGAAGGAATATTGATACGTGTACACCAGGCTTACAAAATAATCTTATTCTTATAACTAACTATAGGAATCTTTTAAAGAATAATAACTTTCTCTTAGAAAACAGTATAATAATTTTCTAGTCATTTCGTTTTATCAGCTTCTGACAGTATCACATGGTACAGTCTGCGCTCCCTGTGCCCCGTCCAAGTGATGCTAGTGTGAGGCCTTGAATTCCAAGGGGAGTGAAAACACATTGAAAAGTTTTGAAAAAGGAGTCATGTAATCTGATTAACTTTTCGAGTGATCCCTTTGACCACACATTAAAGAATGCATCGGAGAGGAAGTTAGTGCAGCATTCTAGGCAAGAGGACACGGTAGCTAGAATTAGGGTGATGATAAAGATGAGTGAAAATAACTGGGTTTGGGAGACATTGTTTGGAAGTGGAATAAACATGGTTTGAAGGTGAGCTAGAGATGGGCAATTACACCGATTGAGAAGTGAAGGTGTCAAGGTTAAATGGAAGGTTCGATGGTTTTGAATTGGTCAAATGAACAAATGTAGGAACTGTTTTCTAGAGGCTTAGAAAGCAATTGGGTTTAACTCCAGGGCTAAGCCATGATACTAGACCTGGGATGCCCATTTGAGAGTTATCCAGCCAAAGAAAGTTTATTTTTGAAATTAACATTTTCTAAACAGAATAGTGACCCCAATTGCCTGTTTCCTATGATTGGATAGAAAAGTCCTCAGTGATTTTGGCTGATCATAACTCTTATTATTTATTATCTGTGTGATCTTGGCCTAACCTCTGAGCCTTCCTGAATATCTTTTTAAATGGGATCATATATCTGAATTATTTTTCACACAGAACTTTGTAAAGTCAAATGATAAAATGCATTTGAAAGTGCTTTGTAACTCTATATGAATGATGCTATAAGCATGAAAAGAAATTTAAAGTAATATATAAACTGCACTGAATCCTATTTCTTAATTAAAAAGCTATATGATGTAAGAATACTAAGTAATTTTTCATCATATTTTGCAGCAAATATTTTCTTTTAAAATGCTCATATGTTTAGAGTTTAATAGACTCCTTACATATCACAATAAAACCAGTTCTTTCTTAGTTTCATGCCTTGGGCATGATATTATTGAGCACAGTCAACTGTGCCCTACACCTTGCAAAGTAGCAGTATTAAACCTACTAATTCACTTATAGTTCTTCTAGGGATTTTGGCTTTATCCAGAAAATTCCTGTTCAAGGAAATCTAAGTACCCTTAGTTATGAATTTAATACTATTAATCCATGATAAAATTCTGATCTTTTGGAACCTGTCATGATAGGTAAATTTTGATTTATCTGATTTACTGAAACCACTTTCTACCTCCTTGAAAGATGGTAGAGTGTGGGGGGAAAGTTGTTCACTCCTTAGGCAAACAGGACGGGTCCACCACCTTCCATGGGTCATGGCCCCTGGGAGAATGCTGATGGCTGAGCCATGGGAGCTGAGGAAGCAAAGCTGACCTGTCTCTCCACATGAGATAAATGGACCCTTGCCTCTTGTTCCCTGACTAAAGCTGCAGAAGACCGCAGTCTGCACACTTCTCAGTTACTTCATGTTCCCAGCCTCATCCTCGTCTCCTGTCTGCGAACAACTTGGCTTTGTAAACCTTCACATTGTGAATTGTCCTTTTGTGTAATCTTGGCATGAGATGCATGCTATGTGACAGGAAGAGCACTTGAACCTGGCCCAAATAAAGTCTGGGGCTGTGGAGTGTCTATAATGAAGGAAACCTCACACACCCGAACTTTTGGCTAGCCTTTTGTCTCTATGTTTTCTCATTGAAAATCGTGACCCCTCTTAAACTCACTCGTAAAGTAGTGAAAGATCTGGTGTCTACATTATCTTACATTTGAGCAGTCTTTTTTCACTACTTTACGCCGACCTACATCTAATCATTCTCTGCTTTGCTGTTTTGAACTGAATGATTTCTAACTTTTATGTTCTTTTTCTAAAGTTAAAGTTCCTAAGTACCACAGGAAACTAATCTTTCAAAGCATACACGATTATTTAATTAGCTCCTAGGCATTAATTAACAAGTGTCACTTAAGAAAATGAAAGGAATTCTGCAGGAAAGGAACTACACTATTTATACATTCAAATATTCAAGCATGATATGTACAGTGGGCAAATTTCATTCAAAAGACTAGGTTCACTCACAGTAAGGGAGACTGCTTCTGTGAAAGTCTGGAAATATGTGTTAAGTACTCTTTTTGTAGTTCTCTAAGATTGCTTCTGCTCTCTTCAGGATCCAGTTCCATGTCCTCCAATCTGGTTGCTGGGAAATCAATCTGAAATAAAGGAATGATTTGCCATTTATTGAAGGTATCTCAATGATGCATTATTAAATCCTCCTCAGATTTGTAGAACCTAACCTACTCAATGCATTTGTTGATTTTGATTTATGGGGACCCTGTGTAGGGTTTCTAACTTTACAAGGTATAAATCTTTACAAAAGTAGATAGCCTCTGCTTTCTATCATAAAGAGGCCAGTGGGTTTGAACCCACAACCTTATGATGAGCAGGCTAATACTTATCTGACAATACCAACAGAGATCTTGTATAACCTACATCCCCTGTCCCTGAGTTGATACCCACTCATAGCAACCCCTGTAGGATAGGGTAGAACTGCTCAGGTGAATTTCTGAGACTTTAACTCTTGGGAAAGTCTGTCTTTGGTTATTTGTTATTTAAAAATGTCATGATTTAAGCAAGCACTTGATAAACATACATGATATTTGCTTGAACCTCAATCATTATATGTTATATATTAGAGTTATGTAATGCTTTCTGAGTCAAAATAAGACAAAATATGAATTATTCATGAAGCTAAAAATGTTACATATTTAATGCTGGTGTTATATCGTTTGTATATTTTGGTTTCATATATGACATGGTGGAATTAAAGTTGATAATTATAATTTTTCATGGTATCATTCAGGGAAAACAAATAGCCACTTTATTTTCGATTCATACATTCTATCAGCCAGAGAAATACTTTTTAGACAGAAGAGAAAGCTTTTCTCAGGTGAAGACCCATTTTGTGAGCATACAATGAAACAGAACTTTTTTCCTACTTTTTGTTTTTTTAGGTCAGATTTATAGTTAGAGCTAAAATCCAGGCCTCCTTTGTCCCAGTTCAATGTTTCTTCCCTTGTACCATGTGTGTTAGGTCGGGTTGATCAGAGATACTAATCTAGTGACATTCATATGTATGTAAGAGAGAGTTTTTTACCAAAGAGCAATTGTATATCGAGAAAACATCCCAGCCAAGTACAAATCAAGTCCACAGGGCCAATATTCGCTCATCTGTCCAGTACTAGTCCATAAATTCCTCTTCCGACTCATGCAGTCACATGAAATGATGCCATATGCAGGAAGATCACAGGCCAGCGGGTGGAAAGTCTTGTGGATCTAATGGCGGTGGGAGCACTTCACTGCTGGGGCGGGTCTCCATGTAACTTCCACAGCTCTCCGAGTGGGCCTTCTCAACAGGAAGGCGAAGCAGAGATTCCTTGCAGGTGTCTGCCCGCGTATGCCTGGCTTGGCAACAGGAAGACGAAGGCAGAGGAAGGGGAAGTCCTCAGAATTCTCATGAGAAGCCCACACCCACAAGGAGGCATAATCAGGCTGTGACCTGTTTGAGAAGCTGAATGCCACCGCTACATCTATTTATCAAGTTGACATGGAATTATGTAACTACCACAGGCCGCCCCTTGTCAGCTTGACACTTTTACACAACTCTTTAGTCATACATATTTTAATTAAACAAAACAATAAAAAAATCATATGTATACCTAACAGGATAAAGCTAAAATTCATATAACTAAGACTGTGTCAGGCTTCATTGAAACACAATAGTCCATAAGTGAACAAAGCAAAAATATTCTATATTTAACAATTGCTGTTCTGTGAATACCTGTACCACAATCCTATGAACATATTTCCCTACCTATGAATGTTTGTAAGTCAGCAACTTCATGCCTTTATCCTCTAATTTGGGGAATCCAATTTCTCTATTGCCCACTTGTATCAACCCAGTGCTCTGAGGAGATAAGCATGTTCTTTGATGTGAAGAGTCTTCATTCCAGTTGGAACCTTGTGAGTCTGAATCCATAAGCAATGTCAAATCATGGCAGGCCATGCATAAAGTCAGAAACAATATGTACCAATTCACCGGCTCTAAAATCTTATCTTCATCTGGTTGGTTTCTGGTCAACTCAATGTGTGCCACCTTGCTTAGACTAGCCAGGGTGCCCATTGGCTGCCTTGCTTTTAGACCATGGGACCCTTTACATCACAAATTCTCAACAACCCTAACCCTCTTGGGCCAAGCCATGAACTTCTTCAAACCAGCGAACCCACTCTCATCTTCTCCTCTAGTCCTTATAAACCAGGTCCATGTGTGTCAGTGACCAGACTCAACTGGTCGTTCTATTTCTGCATTTCTCCAACTTCCCCGCAATAAGTGAATCCAGGTGGTTACCTAGAAATCATTGCAGGCTGCCCGTAGGCTCCCTTTAACGTTCAGTGCTAGTGAGGAGAATTTCTTCATGGCTCCTGTGTTAGTCTGGACTGACTAGAGAAACAAATTCATAGACACTCACATGTGTGTGAGAAAGGGCATTAGATAAAAGAGCAACTATATATTGAGAAAACAGCCCAGCCCAGTCCAGATCAAGTCCATAAGGCCAATATTAGCCCATCTGTCCTATACTAGTCCATAAATTCCTCTTCAGACACATGCAGTCGCATGCAATGGTGCCATGTGCAGGAAGATCACAGGTGAGTGGGTGGATAAAATGCTCGTGGAAGTTTCTCCGTGCTGGCATGTAGGTCTCCACGTGGCTCCTCTGCTTTCCAAGTGTGGCTGCTCAACAGGGGGGTTAAACAGAGACAGCAAGGTTTCAGTAAGTCTCTGCCTGGCTTGTCAGCAGGAAGACAAAGGCAGAGAGAGAGGGGAAGTTTCCAGAATCCTCGTGAGATGGCCATGCCTTCAAGGAGGAATGGTGCAGCTGTGATCTGACTGACAGGCTAGACCTCACCTCAACACCTATTTATCAAGCAGACATGAAATTATGTTACTACCACACCATGCTTCAATAATATTCTAACTCATGTAAATACAATAACAGTTAACAAAAAGACAGTGCTGCAATCTGGCAATGAGCTCCTTATACTTGTTTAAGGTTACCCTGCTTGAATAATATAGTATTAGAAAATTCAGAGTTCATTTTTCTTTGCTGAACTGTTAGATGGGCATCACAGATAAAATTGAGACACGTTATGAAGAGAATTTTGTGAGCTAGTTTGAAATACAATTTAATCTATTTGAGTTCTTTTTTTTTTTTAAGGCTTAGGATTTCCATTCTGTAACCCCTAATAGTGGTCACAATATTTGTTTTGGGTTTCAGTAGATCACTTACTACACCAACATACCCCCAGCAATATTACTGCCATTTTTGCCTGTTAACTGGGAGATTCACTTTGGTGTCTTAGAGAGAAGTGTGTCTGATACTAGT